CTCTCTCTCTCTCCTAATATTGGGTCCCATCGGGTACCACACAACCCCTTCTATCTCCGTCTCTCCCCCAAATTAGGACGTCAGATCCCACAAAACATCTATCTTTTATCCTTGGGCCCCATCAGGTATCAACCCCCTCTCCCCCTAATTATGACAATGGATCACACAAACCTCTCTTTCTTAACATAGGCCCCACCAAATCCCACACAACTCCCTCTCCCTCCAATTATGACATTAGATCCTACACAACTCATCTATCCCGCTCTCTTATTCATGACACCAAGTCCCACATAATCCCTCATCTTTTCACTTTTCACTCTTTCTTAGCGATGATTAGCGATGATCATTTATGATCCGGTCCGCCCTGACTTGCCTTGTTTGGCTCACAAATTTTTGGGCCTAAACAGCCATATTCCTCAAAGCTTGGCTTGACCCAAACTCGCATCAAGCCCACACACAATGAAGGTCGGGGTCGGCCTAAGAAAGAACAATTTTATGAAAATAAAAATAATTTAAGAAACAATTTTAGAAATGGGGGTAGAGGTATAAATTAGGCTGCGTTGGATTGGCATGAGACACTTTGGGGACCACCCGTGCTTTGGCGGGCCATGTTGTGATGGCCTGCAAGCCATGCTAAGCCATGCTTGCCTCCTCTATGATATTCAAAGGTCAGGCCTTGCTCAGCCCATGGCCCGAGCCCAGGTGGGCCAAGTTGGGTCGTAGGCTGGGCTAGGCCATGAGAGTCATTTTTTTTTAAATCATAAAAATAACAAAAAAAAATTGAGAATACATTCACAAAATAGACGAAAAATTAAAAAAAAAATCTTAAAATTTTATTTTATATGAATTTTGATGTATAAAATTGTTTGTATATGAAATAATAAAATGAAATTAAAAAATTACAATACAATTGGAATAAAATAGTATAATAGAATTGAAAATAAACACACACACACACACATATATATATAGGCTGGGCCAGGCCGGGCCAGCCTACAGGCCTAAAAACCCAAGCCCAGAACATCCTGCGTGTTATAGTGACGGGCCGGGTCTGACATGGCCCGATTTACCACTCTAATGCCCCATTCGCTTTTCGATAACTCACCTGGGTAAATGCACTTACTTGGGTAAGTCTTTCCCAGGTAAGTGCATTTACCCATGTTCTTTTATTTCCCATGTAAATAAGGCAATGACCATCTTAGCCATAAAAATTCTATTATTAAAAGAGGCATTTTTGTCCCATCCAAGTATTGGCAATTTTCCCCTAAATGGGAAAGTTAATTGACCCACCTAGGAGGTAAGTGATACCCAGAAAAATAAACTTTCACCGGTCCCCACCTAAATCTAAAAAATGAACATGAGTTTCTTGGTCAATGAAAATCAAAATCCCATTGACCAATTTTGTCCCCTCTCAAAATCCAAAAAACAAATGCCCCCTAAATGATGGTTTATTTAATTCAAAATCAAAATTTACAAAGCACCCCACTTCTATACGGATTCCACCATCCTATCTGAAAGAGAACTTCTGCACCATGGACCGAGTCAATTACAACCTTAAGTTTCCTCAATGAGTGGCCCACCTTCTTGATCTTCCAAGATGGCCATCTACTGATCCTATGATGCCTGCATGTCCGTTCGTGGTGAGGCATACTGCAAAGGAAACAAATTAAATGCTATTATTGTAAATCAGTTCTGTTATAAAACAGCGATGAGGAACCACGACGAAGTGTTGCTAATTAATCTTTAACTAGAAGAAAAAATAGATACCCGTCAAATAAATGGTCTCTAGCCAAAAGAAGAAAAGGGATTTTATGATTCAGTCCACCCCTAGGTGGAGCTAGGATTTACTAGGGGTGGACTGAATCTTGTCGGTGGATTGATGCCAAATTCACGGGCAGGATGTGATTTATAGGGGGCTATTAGTAGACATGGAGGAGGCTGCAAAAAAAAATTCTGAGGGGGATTGCAGTCCAAAAATCCCAAGAAAAAATAGATGGTCGTCACTCAGACCTTTCGTCACCTATCACGTAGATACCTGTCAAAAAAAAAGTAGATCCTCATGCTCAGGGAAACATTGGAACTCGTACACGCTAATTAATCTTTAGCCAAAAGACTCGCACGTGCTAATTAATCTTTAGCCAGAAGAAAAACTAGATACCTGTCATCAAGATTTGAAATTTCACAACGTATCGGTCTGTAGTGGCTGATATGTTGTGTTTCGTCGAGCATCTGATACATGGAACATCTAGAATTTGTATGTTTCTTTTATTTTTGTTCATATCGATCAGATACGGGCCTGTATCGGACCGTTTTGGGTCTATATTGGCCGATATAAGCCTGATAACATAAATGTCAAATTTGAATTTAATAGTATTCTCTCTCTTATTTTTGGCAACTTTTAAATGTCAAATTTAACTTCCCTCTTTTGCCAAATTTAAATTATATGATTCTTAATTAATTATCACATTTCACTACACGCCATTAAAGGTGAATTAAATAGTACATTTAAGGCAATTTCAATTTTGAATTTGAATTTGACGTGTCACTACATTTGCGTATAAAAATCACAAATAGGTGACCAAAGGGATTCAAACCCTAATCATTTGTTTTCAACAACTACAAGCCCACCACCACACCATACCCTCAATGCTTGGCATATTAATATGTATTATTATTCTTAATTAAACGCTCTTTTTAGATTATAATATATTCAAAATATATAATTATCTTCTTCAATAACATATATTTTTTATTTTAGTTTAAATTTTTTATAAGACACCTATCTTGAAAAGTTACCCAAAAGAATAGAGAGAATGACGGTTCAGCCCAGGGTCAAAATTTCTAGGCCCAAAGTATAATTGGGGTAGGTGCCAGGTCGGAAATTATGCCAATTCACAGACAAGCATTGGTGTATAGAGTGGGGTTTTTTGACATTTTGATTGTTATAGCTCTGTAGTGGAATTCAGAAATCTGCATTGTTCCTATCTGTACTTTTCCGAAAAAAATATCACTCTAATCGAACATCTGAGTAAAAAGTTATGGCCTTTAGAAGTCTGCATTAATGTGCTAAAAATTTCAAAACACCGAGTGGTTTTCTAAAACCAGGGCTGGTTCATCAACATTTAGTTTGATTAGCTGGGTCAACAGTTTGGGCCATTTTTTTACCCAATCTTATTTTAGGGGTATGACTGAACCGGTCAAAAGCTCTGAGTCATGGTTCAATCGGTCCAACTGGCCAATCCATTCCTATTTTCTAAACAATGATAAATATTAATACAAATTATATTGATTCTTTAAAAAACTATGGTATGTGTGTATGTATGTATACATTTTAATTCTTCCATGATTCCATCATTTTTCAAGAGTTTCGAATTGTATTTCGATATTTCGCACTTCGTATAAATAATTGAAATATGTTTTTTATGTTTAAATAACTTGTTTATAGTCATATAAAACTCATATTTATTATTATTAATATAGTTTTTTTAAGATTTATATAGTTTCTCAGTGTATCCATGTATATCTTAATTGCCTTACCGATACATCTCTTAAAATTGCCTTATCGATACACATTGCATTTTTGATACTTTAAACCTTGCCTATCATGGTCTTTATCCATAAGAAAAAATAGACACCCATCAGATAAATAGTGACAGACCTTGGTTTTATCCCCTTCCTCTCTCTCTCTCTACGTGAAAAAAGAAGTATACTCGGGAAATGGCGAGGTGTGTACTTGATTACTTGCATGCTCGGTAGCGTTAAGTGTGCATCTACCCGCACACTCACTTTATAGCAAACTCGTGTATATTCCATTTTGTTAATGGAAAGATTCCATTTCACAAAAGGAGAGGAGTCGTCTATACGCCCTTTCATTGTTAGGTTATACTAGTTTAATGGTCCGTGCGATGCATGGGGGTATTTGATATTGATGGTGATATTTGACCATGCTTTTATATATTGGGTATAGATTTGTAATTTATGTTATTTTCTTCAATTTTTATGATTTTCTATGTATTTCTTTGTTTTTATAATTTACATTATTTTCTACATTTTATGTGTTTTTTCATAATTATTTTGCAATAACATATATATAATGGGAAAAATAGAAAGTTGAGGGTAAAGTTGGAAAGTAAAATTAGAGTGTTTTGACCAAACCAATTGCATCATTTTCATTTTTCAGTACGGTATATAAGTTTCTATGATGTTCTACATTTTTTGTAAATTTTCAATGTATTTCTTTGTTTTTTGTAATTTATATTGTTTTCTTCATTTTATGTTTTTCATAATTATTTTTAGTGACAATATATATAATGGAAAAAATAGAAAGTTGAGGTTAAAGTTGGAAAGTAAAATCAGGGTGTTTTGGCCAAACCAATTGCAACATTCTCATTTTTTTAGTAT